CTTGTTACAAACTGCTATTTGTAACGGGCCCTTTAAATGGCAAATTGCCCTGCTTCCCTGGGTTGTGGAGAAGCCTATTTGCCAGCCTCCTCCCGCATGACTATGGCCCCTGGGAGATTGTGAAAATGTATGCACTTTTATTTGGTGTGTATGGCCCTTTAAGACTGTCGGTGGGCATATTGGGGCTTATGGACTCTTTATGTGACTGGTGCTGGCCCTTTAAACACCTTTTTTGGGACATCAGGAAGATTGGGACACTGCCCCTTTAAGGCCGTGTCCCCAGACTTGTTGGGGACACGGCCCCTTTAAGACGGTGTCCCCTGTGTCCCCAGACCTGGTGCAAACCCTTTGTGCCTGCCTTGCTATTTCCCACTTGGTTCAGTAAATGGGAAATTATTTCAGCTGCAGAGACTAAGTCCCATTCGGCGATGGGACTTAGTCTTTTTTTCAGCCGTTTTTTTCAGCCTTATTTCAGCTGCAGAGACTAAGTCCCATTCGGCGATGGGACTTAGTCTTTTTTTCAGCCGTTTTTTTCAGCCTTATTTCAGCTGCAGAGACTAAGTCCCATTCGCGATGGGACTTAGTCGTTTTTTCAGCCCGAAATAGACCGACCTCACAGCCCAAATCTATGGAACTGTTTTGGGCAGGAAAATGTGCTTGCGGTCGGTCATAAAGGGACCTCCAGCTAACTTTTTAACCCCTGGATGGATTTGGCTGATTTTTGGTTATGTTTATGTTTTAAGTGTGCTGGTTCCAAATATGTAATTATGAAGATGGGATGTGTAGTTTTAAAGTTACAGGGTATGGCTAAAAACTGTATTTTTACTGCCTGTGTTTAATTATGTTAATCTCTTCCCAAACGTCATTTCGTTCAAAGTGGAGAGAATGTTAAAAAAATATATTTTTGTTCGGAGTGTGAGAAATGCTTTTCAGCCGCTTCTAATCTTAAGCATCATTTGAGGAGCCATACAGGAGAGAAACCTTATTTGTGGTGTGTTTAGTATTGTTCTGATCAGTTTAATACCTTCCGCGTCTCCTATCAGTGGACGTGTATATGGCAGCCATTTTAGGAACCGTACACCTGGGACCCGAACAAGGTCACCTCGTTCAACAGGCGACAACATTTGTCCCTGGAAAACTATCCTGGACATTCTGTACAATTTGTATGGATATGGCAGTGATTTCTGTAACAGGGAGATGGAAGAAGATGCTTGGTGGGTCCTCTTAATTCAAATTTGGGGCACTGCGCGGTCAAGCTAATGTGCCACCAGATAGGAGTGGTGTGTTTAGTATTGTTCTGATCAGTTTAATACCTTCCGCGTCTCCTATCAGTGGACGTGTATATGGCAGCCATTTTAGGAACCGTACACCTGGGACCCGAACAAGGTCACCTCGTTCAACAGGCGACAACATTTGTCCATGGAAAACTATCCTGGACATTCTGTACAATTTGTATGGATATGGCAGTGATTTCTGTAACAGG